GAACAGAATTATGACGTCACACCTAGTACATATCATGTATAAAGCAGTACGATCATCTCCTGGATTGGTTAGCTTAGCTTGGACTGGATTAGGTCGGGTTAGGTTTACTTCAAGCGTAGGTTGTGGCTTACTGGGGGTGGAGGCCTAGTCGAGGACCGGGCCGCGGGGACACTAAAGCCCTGAAATCATCTCAAGATAAGATTTTAAGATAGTGTTAAAGGCTGAGGTGTTATATTCTAGTGGGTCTCCTGGTGCCTCGTTGACCTGTAGGTTGTCTCCTGACTGTCGTGTCGAGCGGTGAACCCCAACGCCCCCCCCCACTCCCCGCACTCCCCCCCCCCCCACTCTCCCCCCGCCCCATACAGAGTCCCGGGGGGACCAGTGTTTATTACCCTTGGAGCTTCTCCAGCCCAAGTGCTGAGCTTCTCACCTGTCAGGTGGTGTATATTGCTGCACATTACCCGTGAAGACCACGCCGTCGTGCTGGGTGCTGGAGCACGTAGGCCTTCTGCAGTTTCCTTAATTCTTATGTTCTTCTGTGCAGCTGTTAGTCTCATAGCTCAGCTAAGACCCCAGCAGCTGCTTTAGCCACACACACACACAACACAGTCCTCTAATTGTTTTACATTTTCGTGGCCAGTTGTTGCTGGGGGTTCAAGATGATTAGCAGTGAATGATCGGTGCCCAGTCGTGCCAAGCTGCCCCACATGGGTCATGAGGCCCATGTGGTGGTGCGCATGACCACATGGGCTCCCATGACCCTGCTGGTGGTCGTGGCACTGCAAGTGTTTGAGGGAGGTCATCATCCCGTCCTCTCAAATAATACGTCAAATTTGTAACTGAATCCATCAATCCGTGAAGAATGCGACGTATTTGTAAGACTTTAGCAGGCGCCGTTGCGAAGTGGCAAGTCACTCGCCTTGGCTTTTCGCGAGCGCTGGGGCCTGGGTTCGTATCCTGGCCGGGGAGGATTTACCAGGCGCCAATCCTGAACTGTAGCTTCTGTTCACCCAACAGTAAAATGGTATTGGGCAGCGCCACTCATCTTGTGAGTGAACACACCGCCATAGTGACAGTATTGGGCAGTGTCACTCATCTTGTGAGTGAACACACCGCCATAGTGACAGTATTGGGCAGCGCCACTCATCTTGTGAGTGAACACACCGCCATAGTGACAGTATTGGGCAGCGTCACTCATCCTGTGAGTGGACACACCGCCGTAGTGACAGTATTGGGCAGCGCCACTCATCCTGTGAGTGGACACACCGCCATAGTGACAGTATTGGGCAGCGCCACTCATCCTGTGAGTGGACACACCGCCATAGTGACAGTATTGGGCAGCGCCACTCATCTTGTGAGTGAACACACCGCCATAGTGACAGTATTGGGCAGCGCCACTCATCTTGTGAGTGAACACACCGCCATAGTGACAGTATTGGGCAGCGCCACTCATCTTGTGAGTGGACACACCGCCATTGTGACAGTATTGGGCAGCGCCACTCATCCTGTGAGTGGACACACCGCCATAGTGACAGTATTGGGCAGCGCCACTCATCTTGTGAGTGGACACACCGCCATAGTGACAGTATTGGGCAGCGCCACTCATCTTGTGAGTGGACACACCGCCATAGTGACAGTATTGGGCAGCGCCACTCATCTTGTGAGTGGACACACCGCCGTAGTGACAGTATTGGGCAGCGCCACTCATCTTGCGAGTGGACACACCGCCATAGTGACAGTATTGGGCAGCGCCACTCATCTTGCGAGTGGACACACCGCCATAGTGACAGTATTGGGCAGCGCCACTCATCTTGTGAGTGGACACACCGCCATAGTGACAGTATTGGGCAGCGCCACTCATCTTGTGAGTGGACACACCGCCATAGTGACAGTATTGGGCAGCGCCACTCATCTTGTGAGTGAACACACCGCCATAGTGACAGTATTGGGCAGCGCCACTCATCTTGTGAGTGAACACACCGCCATAGTGACAGTATTGGGCAGCGCCACTCATCTTGTGAGTGAACACACCGTCATAGTGACAGTATTGGGCAGCGCCACTCATCTTGTGAGTGGACACACCGCCATAGCAGCATGTACAACACTCCCCAATAGGTAGAAAACCCGCTGGGTTGTTCAGCCTGTCACTTGTACCCAGACACAGCTGGGACTTGCTTAACTGTCTCAAGTGAACAGCCCCTCAAACAAGAAGTGAGTGACCAGTGACAGACGTGACTAACGTGAACGTGATGCATGATCGGTGTTGAGGTGAGTACATCAGTCTGGGACATGTAGCCTGGTGGTGGTGCTTACGCCTCCCAGGGGAAGGAGGTACGGGGGCGCAAGGGGGCTTACAATCCCCGGGGGACTAGTGTACTGGCCTGTGGGTCAGTGTTCTATACCCCGAGGGATCATCTTAGGGCTTACTCCTAGCCGAGCCGTGGCCGGGATCGAAAATATTTCTAATTATAGTTCGGTCTGAGACCAAACTTCCTCGGTGACTATACCCGATCAATGAGGCTGTTTGCGGCTCGCAGGTCTAATTAGTTCTCTCAACTCGCCTATCAAGTACCTTGTGTAGGAACTGGTCGACGGTCATATTGAAGACTTTCACCTATATCCTGGTCGTATTTCTTACTTTAACGTCGCATCAGGTTGGGCAGTTATGGACGCCCAATTTCACTGTTCTATCGTTACCACTTTATCCCCCCTCCCCCTTTTTCCAAGGGGAGACAGATCACCTGACTACCAGACAAAGTGAGGATGAAACCTTATCTCTTAGAAAAAAATGAAGATATAGAATATTAAAGACACTAAACTCTTGGAAAAATTGAACCAAATATTCAATTATTTTTTATCGAAGTTGTGGATGAAATATAAAGAATATCAAGAAGAGGTTAGCGACGGGGGAGACATCTCCCGTCACGCAGGGTGCAGTCGCACCTCCACAGATCTTCAGTATCATCTATTGATACTGGTGATGGCTCAAAAGGGCCACCACTTACGGGCTATTCATGCCCGTGCCACCATTTGGGTGGCTTAATCTTCATCAATCAATCAAGAGGTTAGCATTTTTATCCCCCACGGTAGCAACAGTCGGGTATGGCTCCTGTGCTCATGCTAGCTCTGAGTATGGCCTGTGCCGGCCTAACACGCCTTCAGCAATCTCTTATTTCTGGGTTCGATCCCAGGCGCCGGCGAGAAACAATGGGCAGAGTTTCTTTCACCCTATGCCCCTGTTACCTAGCAGTAAAATAGGTACCTGGGTGTTAGTCACCTGTCACGGGCTGCTTCCTGAGGGTGGAGGCCTGGTCGAGGACCGGGCCGCGGGGACACTAAAGCCCCGAAATCATCTAGATAACCAAGATAAAAGCCTCTCTTCTCTCATTCCTTCTTTTCCCTTCTCCTCCCTCCTCCCATTTGCTCACTTTTTCGTTAACGTTTCGTTTTTCGTTTTTCGTTTTTCGTCCTGATTATGTTTGAGTGTGTGTGTAAAATCCAATAATTTTATTTTTATTACTACTGAATAGGTTGTCGCGTCATTGGCAGCTTACTGTATCATGCTACTATATAAGCGGCATTGTCATTAACGCTGTCAGCAAATAGTATCAGTATGTTAACCTTGTAACTAGCGACCGCCGACGGCATGTAGTGAGCAAGACACTATTGTAGTCAAGCTGATTTTCTTGAAGATTTAGCTGAAGGTTATGACAAAACCTTGCTGGAGAACCCCATCACGTACACCCCATCACCTCCAGGTGGGTGATGGGTACACCACACACTGGGTACCCACAGCACTCATTGGTGTGGGTACCCAATCCAAAGTTGGATTTGGGTGCTGGCTCGATGCCTCCAAATTCGAAGTGGGTTTGGCAGCACTCCAGGACGTGTAATTTTTAGCATATTGGGGTTCATGGGTTATGGGGCGTGTCTTGGGAGGTGACCCAGGACGCTGGTTCGATTCCGCCGTCGTGTTTCCAAGGTTTCCTCACGGATATGTCAAGTTATTGTGATTACATTGTGTATTAAACGTTTAATTTAAGTGTCTTAATTTGTATTAATACAGTACTTTTAACATTGTTTGATTCCGTAAAAACTACGTATTAGATGAGTTTTTTTTTTATAGCTGTTGGTGGGGGGGGGGAGTTGTGGTGGTTGTAGTCTGTATTAACTGGCTTTACAGGAAGTTATGAATGGCGACAAAAGCATAATGGGTCGAGGAAGGACGACTTGAGGCGAGGGAGAGGCGGAAATAGTGTGTGTGTGTGTGGGGGGGGGGGGAGGGTTCTTCCAGGTGGTGGTGGTGGTGTACCAGTGACCGTGGGGGATAATTACTACACCTTCACCTCGGGTGGGAAATGAATGACTCTTGATGGAAAGATGTTGGGGAGAGCGGAAGGCGAGGAGGAAGGGGGAGGGTTCCTTGTTGGAGGAGCTGGACTTTGTTTATTGTGGTGAGTGTGGGGGGGGGGGGGGGGCGACCAGTGTTGGTGGGGGCGACCAGTGGGGTGGGTGGGGGGTGGGGGGGGGCGACCAGTGTTGGTGGGGGCGACCAGTGGGGTGGGTGGGGGGTGGGGGTGGGGGTGTAACACTCAACAAATAATTCAAATAATCACATCGTCATTTAAACCAAGAAATAAGACTGCCCAGACCCATAAGTCAGTTATGAAAGACCTTAAAAGTTAGTAGAGTTGCAGCAAAGGTGGTCCACCTACACTATTTTTTTTGCAACCATTGTGCCAAAGTGTCTCCGTCCCTGCAGGGGGTCGAGTGACCCCCTGCAGGGACCTGAGTCTGACTCGGCTCGGTTTAGGGACGTTTGATTATTAAAAGCACATTACAAATGCCAATTAAAACCCACTTTGAGATAATATACTTAGATTTATGTATCGTTCGAGAGGCCTGATCAGAGACCGGGCCACGGGGATATTGATCCCCGGAACCAACAACAGGTCGACAACATATAGGGCATTGGCGATTTACCCATTTGTTCTGCGCATATGGCGAATGTTACCATTTTGATTTATGTCGTCAGCAGAGTTTTGAAATTTGAAGTGATCCCAAGTGAGTCATTTGGTAGCGTCGTCCCTTGAGGTTACCTTGAGGTGCTTCCGGGGCTTAGCGTCCCCGCGGCCCGGTCGTCGACCAGGCCTCCAGGTCCCAGGTAGTGTTCGGGTGGCCTGGCTTTGGTTGTCCCTGAGGGAGGTAATGTTTCAGTTGAGCAAAGGTTAGTTACCCTTCACATATGTGCACAATGTTGTTGTTGTTATAAATTCAGCTACTCGGAACAAGTTCCAAGTAGCACGGGCTATGGTGAGCCCGTAACTTACCTGGCACAGGAGCGGGGCAAGAAGCACGGGCTATGGTGAGCCCGTAACTTACCTGGCACAGAGCGGGGCAAGAAGCACGGGCTATGGTGAGCCTGTATGTGCACAATTTTCCTCTCGCCATATATTCCTCATTCCCACCTTACCCATCCCCCATTCACCCCACCAAACATCTCGCTCCTCTCCCAAGCCCTCCTCCCACGCCAGACCTCTCCCCCCCACCCCCCACCCCAGCCCTCTCCCAAGCCCCTCCCATCTTCTCTACCTGAACGATTTGCCACTCTCTCCCTCTTAACCTTCTCTACACCCACGCCCCCTTTCCCTCCCCAACACTTAAGTCTACTGCTCCACCTAATCCTCACCCATCCACCACCTAGCCACCCCCTATCAACTCCCATCCATCCCCAGACACCACCTATTAATCACCCATTCATCTATACCCAGCCAGCCACCACACTAGTTGGGTGATTGATTGATTGATAAAGATTAAGCCACCCAAAAGGTGGCACGGGCATGAATAGCCCGCAAGTGGTGGCCCTTTTGAGCCATTACCAGTATCAATAGACGATACTGGAGATCTGTGGAGGTGCGACTGCACCCTGCGTGACGGGAGATGTCTCCCGTACTAGTTGGGATCTTGTATGCGAGTTCTAGAGGCGCCAGCAACGGGAGATACGGTAGTGGATGTTGTCGTTGTTAATGGTGGAGAGTAATGGGGGTCAGGACAGTATCCTGCGTGACCCCGCGGAGGATCCACGCGTTCCTGCTGACTGACTTGGCCTGCCATTCATTAGGTTCAGATTGTTAGCAAGGGACAAATCTTTGGCTTCCTCTCACACACTCCCAACCTCTCGCCCTTGGCTTCCTCACACTGGCGCTCGTCCTTGCTTACTTCCGCCAGCCTTTACCGCCGCCCTCCGGCCTCTCTGTTTCCTGCATGTGTGTCTCCGGTAGTCGGTGGATGTCCTTGTGTGTGTCTCACCGCCGTCTGTCCCACCGCTGCCTGTCCTACTGCTGCCTGTCCCACCGCTGCCTGTCCCACCGCCGCCTGTCTCACCGCCGCCTGTCTCACCGCCGCCTGTCTCACCGCCGCCTGTCTCACCGCCGCCTGTCTCACCGCCGCCTGTCTCACCGCCGCCTGTCTCACCGCCGCCTGTCTCACCGCCGCCTGTCTCACCGCCGCCTGTCTCACCGCCGCCTGTCTCACCGCCGCCTGTCTCACCGCCGCCTGTCCCACCGCCGCCTGTCCCACCGCCGCCTGTCCTGTTGGGCTGTGAGGTGCGTGTGTCGGGTCGCGAGGTGTGGCCAAGGTGACCCGTTTTTGTGTGTGTGTCTTCACTGTAGCTTCTTCCTGTTGAATACTTGTCTTGATTCATTCGATTCGTAGACCATACACTATCCCCGTTGATTTGTTCAATTGTGTGTGTGTAAAGACGGTATCAGTATTTACTGTATCGGATTACTGTATCAGTATAAACTCTAGGTACTTGTGTATTTTTCATTTACTGAACGTGGCATTACATTTCATGAACATTTACTTATTCATGTTATCGAGGTAGGTAAGGTAACAGGTGGACTGTATTGGTGTTTCAGAGGTAATTTATGGAAGGTATGGTGTTCGAAATGTATTATGGTGTTCGACATTGCTAATTAGATTTGCAGCAAAACGTGGAATTATCTTTTGTTAGGATGATTTTTAGCTACTTGTTTACGACTTGTAGACAGACACGAACGTGCATCTCTCTCTCCCCCCCCCTCCCCCCTCGTGGATCAGCCGGGCTGTTTTTTTTTTTTTTTTTTTTTTTTTTTTTTTTTTTTTTTTTTTTTTTTTTTTTTTTTTTTTTTTATTATTTTCTACCACAGACGTGGCCACACATTTACAATGCTAACCAGCATATATACATTTTCTTCTGTCCTCCATGGACAGGGTTAGAGAAGTGTTAAACATACAGTTCAAGGGTTTATTGAACACTCAACCACAGAAGGTGATTCGGTGCTTTTAAAATGCTAAGCTAACCTACATACGTAAATACAAAGATACACAGATTTACGTACGCCCTACATAAAGTATTAGATGTGTCTTTTACATAGTGTCATTAATGTACATTCACAAAGGTGAAATGTAATTCTGATCAGCTTCCATATTTGCTTTATACCCATACATATACATACACACACACACATACACATACATATATACACACATACATGCATTCACATACATTTGTCTCATTTACCCTGACAGGGTGAGGTAGCTGATAAAGAAACTAGTGTGCAATTAAGCACTTAATCACTGAAGGTGATGAAGGTGCTTTTACAAGCTCAGGTTATATAGTTACATCACATACATACATTGTATGATTGATACATTACATGGTCAATTTTGGATACAAGTCCAATATATCATCAAGTGTTCCAGTACTCATATAGTAACTACAGAGTTCAGCATACCTTAGCCCAGGAGGGCGAAAGTCAGTCAGTATGGGACATTCTACAATATAATGTTCAAGAGAGTGCATGTTTTCTCTTTCACAAAGTTGACACATTGTGTACTCGACATTTGGGTTTTGAGAAAGCTGCCAGATACGTCTATATCCCAGGCGTATTCTGGCCACTATAACATCACATTGCCGGGTTCTTGTTCTATTAGTCCCATATGTGAATGTCTCCTCACGATATCTATCATAATATTTAATGCTACAACTTTCAGGTCTTTGAGAATTTGTTAGGTCGGTGAGATTTTCATTAGATATTTGTTTAAGTATTCTCTTTGTCACTGCTAATGAAACACCCATATCAATTTCTACCACTGGTTTTCTGCAAGCTGACTTAGCAAGCATATCAACAGTGTCATGCCTTGAGATGCCAACATGTGATGGTATCCATAGGAATTTAATCTCAAATCTGTTTTCTTTGGCAGCTAAAACATTCATTCGAATATCACTGACTATTTTCTGGGTGTCACTACTATGTGCGTTCAATGCCAGGAGTGCACTCTGCGAGTCACAGTATATAAGTCCACTTATTCGTTTGCCTTGTTCGGGTTGAATGTAGACACAGTAGTCGCTTCTGTATATATTTATTGAGTGAGGCAAACAGGTGTATAACTGGCCAGCCGAGGTCCACCTACTCTGGGTCTGTGAGGATAACTGAGGCTGCTGGGAGCATCGCTGATGCTCCTCTGTCTGGCATGACGTCAGAGGCCTACTTGCCTGTGATTGGTTACATTTCAACTGACAGAATTTTGAGTATAACACCGCTCGGACACGCTACCAAGTCGACGTCCCTTGTCGACAAGCTCTGGCTAGCTATATAGTTACAATGATACTGAAAGGACCTCGGTGGCATTCAATAATGGCTTACATGTGAAATTTGCATAATAAAACATTGAAAGAAGATCAGGTGTGCGTAATACTAACAACTCGGCATATATGCACCAAAAAAAAATTCATCATAATAGGTGAAAATCATGGTAACAATGCTTTGATTAAATCAGAGTATTAAGAACATGTGTATGTCTACTGATCAGATATGAACAATACAACCCAAGGTATTGCCTAAACAAAATTATTAACATGTGTCAATGGCATGTGCTTGAAAACCATACAAAATTAAACAATTATTACATTAATGGAATAAAGTTCTGACCTAACAACCACAATTGAATTTCAAGATAGATAATGATTTTTTTTTTTTTTTCCTCTTTTTTTTTTCTGAAATAATACAATATATTTACAAGACCAATGTACAATATATATAATGTGCAATATATTTACAAGCATATACAAGACCTGGATCAAGAAGACTAACATCTGCGTGATAGCAGTCAGGATTCACTGGCCACAATGTGGTTGCTAGAACAATAATAACTCTTATGACAAGCACTGTAAAAATACAAATGGTAGTAGACTTAACAATGGCATCTAATTTATAACAAAATAAAGTTGAGAAAAACTATACATTATATATAATGGTAATAATAAGACACATGTGGTAGAAATACTGCAAATGATTGTTTTGAAAAAAAAAAACAGAATAACTGCAGAGTGCAATCAATTATAAATTCTGCGGATATCTACACCTAGCTCATCCAGAGCACTATACAACTCTGGCTCTGACTGAAGGTCCGGAACAGATGAAACTTCATGTGACAAACTATCATCTTGAGAGATATCCTCGTTAACATCTAGCCAATGGACGTGTGGTGAGTGCACGGTTGAAACGAGAGGTCTAGATCTAAGATTATAATTGCTAGTATGGGGTTGCTGAACATCAAGTGGTCTGTCAACCACAGAAGGTGGTGTCCGAGTAGGAGTATCTGTCTGGGTAAGTTCATTGTCATCTTCCTCATCAGTCTCGTCAACAGTCATTTTAGCTAACTTCATGTGGTCTAAATGTTCATTTATATACTCTCCTGTTAACAAGTTCTTAAGTCTGTATTTGTTACCTTTAATAAGCTCGATTACCTTATATGGACCCAAAAATTTCTTAGTTAACTTGTACATAGGACCAGACCTGTGTTGGTTAAGTATCATTACTACAGATCCAATAGTTATTTTATTGGGTTTAGCTCGTGCATTCCTTGCTAGAGTGAACTCGGCTGTTGCTTTGGACAGTTGTTCTCGTATTTTCTTGAATACTAGTTGCATTTGTCTACGCTTCACTTGAACAAAATCATCTACGTTATATAAGGGAGTAGGAGGTACGTTAATCAATTCATTAGGGAGGATCTTATCTGTACCATAAAGAATAGCGTGAGGTGTGTCACCAGTAGAAACATTAATTGAAGAATTTATAGCACACTGAATTAAGGGTATAAAATCATCCCAATTGTTGTTATCAAAATTCAACGTGACTCTCAAGGCATCTAACACTTTCCTGTTAGTACGTTCAGCTAGTCCATTACTTGCCGGATGATAAGGCATGATGCTACATTTTTTGATGTTATATAAATCACACAAGCTAGTTAGAATACTATTACTGAATTCTGGACCATTATCTGAAAGGATTACTTTAGGCATACTATATCTACAAATTATTTGGTCATGGAATGCGCTGGCTATGGTTTCTGCTGTTTTGTTCGGGATAGGAACTAGTTCGCAAAACCGTGAAAAATTATCGACCATTACAAGCAAATGTTTGTTCCCTTTCTCTGTTTCCGCAAAATTTGTCAATAAATCCATCGATATTCGTTCCCAAGGAGCTTTAGTTGCTGGGTACACCTGAATTGGATTAGGCCCTGAAACATGTCCCTTGTGCTGTAAACAAGTTAAACATCTGTCAACATAATGAGCAATCTCCTTAGCCATTTTTGGCCAAAAATATTTCAATCGACCTTGTTGGAGTGTACGATCCTTTCCTGGATGTGCACTTGCAGGAGCATCATGGATAATTTTTAACACAGTTGGTACCAAGACAGCTGGAACAACTAACTGACAACATTTCCTCGGGGCTGTCCCTAGCTTTACTACTCTACACAGTAAATTGTCCAACATAACTAGTTCTTTCAATGGTACTGGCGGTTTATGAATCGGGCGAGTGTCTTGCTTAGTCAAAAATTTAATGACGGGTGCCCATATGGGGTCTTGTCTTTGTTCCGTTTCTACTACTGTAGCATCTAATGCTGGGTAATTTAACAGAATCGCAGCTACGTGTCGAGAAAACGCATCGGCTACAACATTTTGCTTTCCTGGAATATATCCAAATGTGGGATTGAATTCTTGAATTGTGAGCAAATATCTAGCAAACTTTCCAACTGGATTCTTATTTTTGAACAAGGGAATTAATGGTTGGTGATCTGTAAGAACATGAACTGGGTAATTATAAATTGTATCCTTGAAATGTTTAAGTGCCCAAACAACTGCCAAGGCTTCTCGTTCTGTTGCACTATAATTTTTCTCTTCTTTAGATAATGTGCGGCTAGCATAAGCTATTGCGTGATCTCTGTGACCTTCTGTTTGAAGTAATGCAGCACCTAGACCTATGTCACTAGCATCTGTAACCAACGTAAAAGGTTTAGAAAAATCTGGATACCTAAGGACAGGTGACGAAATCAAGGCTGCTTTGAGTTTTTTTGAATGACTGATCCTGGGCCTCTCCCCAAACAAAGGGTTCATCTTTTCTTTGCAACTTGTAAAGCGGAGCGGCTATAATAGAGAATCCAGCAATAAATGAACGATAAAATCCTACAAGACCTGTGAACTGTCTTACGGCTTCTGCGGTACGAGGTGTTGGAAAATCACGGGCAGCAATAATTTTTGATTCATTCAATGTAATA